CTCTGTCCATTGCCACTATTGAAAATTAAGTTTAATCTTTGGCACAGTGGAATTGAGAAGGATATTTTAATTCTCTGATGTCCAGGACTTCCAGAAAACTGAAGAATCAGAATTAAGGGGGAAGACTTGGCATTTATAATCCTTACTTATTGATATAATAGCAGAGTGTGTTGCCCAAATTTAAGAACTGTGTAATTTCATGCCACCAAAAAATAGTTGCGGTTCCCCAGCTCAGTGGTTATGGAACTGGTGATTTCCAGAGCCAAAATATGTGACTGTGTGTGCAAGCATTTTTGAAATGGACTTCCAAGTAGCAGCTCTGGAGGGAGCAGCTAACTACAGCTGCAACTGCCAGTTGTTGGTAGTTAGCTGTTCTCTGGCGAGTGCAATGACAAATGGTAATCTGGGTGCTAACTTTTCTCCCTCCACGGAAAAAATAAACTGCTGCTGCCGTGACTCAAAAAATGGATGTGGAAAAAGGGCTGTGTATTCGGTACAGAGGAGCCCAAAAGTGATTGCACAAAACCAACCAAACCAACAAAACAAAACAATGTTCTCATTTGCTAACATGATTGTTTGTCATTCCTCCACTAAAGCATATAATTTAAAAATCTGCTTCAGGATTACAAATGGTGGTTAAAAAGAACATTAACATTAGCTTTGGTCAGGCCTCCTGGTAGTAAATGCAATTTGAGGAGATACAAATTTTGCTTATTACACGCCACTAACTAAATTCTTTGCATTTTATCATCTTAAAAACACTGTGCTAGAAATAGCTCTAATGATAAAAGTCATATTACTCAAATACTTTCAGCACTTCTTAAAAATATTTTCTTATAATTAAGAAAGCTTGCACTAAGAAATCAGACATTCAACCAATAGGAATTATGCTGTAGCCGTCATTAGAAACCATAATGTGAGTATATAATGTTTCAGAAATTCCCTTTTGTTAGGTACCATCAGATGAACTTGACATTTCTCTTTCAGTTAGTCTTGAGATATACGCCAGTCTGTAGAGTGACAGGACACATGCATTGATGCAGAAACCAATTTAATCAACATTACTGCAGTCCTTCCTGGAACCAAGGAGTAAGTACACTTCAGTGGCAAGTAAGGCAGTATGTACTTGTATCTCTAGAAAGTGTCACTCAGGCTGAGACTGAAATTTTCTGGTATGAAGCAGTTTTTCAGTATCTGCCTTCATTTCATCTCTGTTCATTGCTTCACTTAGAACTATCCTGGCCTGTTAGCTGGGAAAAGCAAGGGTGAGCAATTCCCTTGTGCAGATATCTAAACTAAGTCTTTCTTCCAAAAATACAGTGGAGGGACTAATACCTTGTGTAGTTGGTGGTTACAGCAGTTACGAAGGATATGAGAGCTCTCTCTTCAAATCCCTTTTCTCTATGCTGTCCTTTGAACATACAGTTCCTGTGATCTAGTTGAACAGCCTAACAATTTCAGTCTTTCCTCTAGAAGCCGTGCCACTGTAAGAATGAACAAGTATATGTGACCTTCTTGTTTGATAATCATGACACTTCCCTGAGATGGGAAAGGTCCTGTCCCAAGTACATAAATAGTGCTGAAATGTGTTTCAACTGAGATTAAGGCTATGGAAGAAACTGGATTTGGATATCCCCCATCCCAGAGGAGCTGTTTTGTTTTCATGCTGTTGGCTATTTAAAAAATGAAAAAAACAGGGATGCTTCCATTTCTGCCTAGTTCAGCTGGGGAAGGTTCAGTGCATGCATTAAGACTGTCTTGTGAAACCTCACAGAAACACAGTGCCCATGCAGCCTGGTGAGGCTGAGACATTACCAGGTGCCTACATTCATGGCACCAGTGAGATCTAAGCTGTTGGCTTCCTATGAACCTTGACTGGCACAAGTATGCACCTTGGGGCCCGTAATGCCTTCTGGCTATGTTTGAGAACAGAAAGTGCTCTGCATATTAGCAACAGACTACATTATGTGGCTAAATACCTCTTAACTTTGTGGTTGGTTTGTTTTCCTTCTGGTTAACTATTCCAACCAGCATTTGTGGGTTTTTTGGTGTTTTGTTTTCTTTTTTTTTTCACTTGAGAAACACAACAGAGCTGCTTGAATTCATTTGAGATGTTTGCCAGAACTCTGATATCAATTTGATGATGTGAAAGGTGCAGAACTTGTGCTATCTTATATTTGGAAATTCACAGTTGTGTGGGCAATGACCTTTTCATATTGGGTGCATGCTTCCTCTTATGTACCTTCGGGCATGAGCGGGTTTACTTTTCTATCTTGGATCATATTAATTTTTACTTTCCTTTTCCCCTTCCAGATGTACCTTCTTGTGTTTTATTTGCCCATTTTGTATATATCTGTGAACTTTTTCTTGCCATTAAGAAATCTTTTCCAACTGAGTCCTTAATTAGCCCAGATTTTATCAGATTTCTGCCTGTATTATTTGCAAAAGCCCTCTCAAAAGAATTTTTTTTCCCTTCCTTTGTCCATGTGTCTTTATTTTACTTTTCATTCCACACACAAATGTGCCCATGCACTAGCTGGTTTGAATCTCAGTCTTTTCTAGCCAACTCTGCAACACACATGGGAATTATTTATGTGAAAGATACTATGTACCACAGAGCTGCTGCCGCCCTTTGCCTAGGGAGAGCAAAGCCTTGACCTACTTAGTGTTGGGCTGCAATACTGTTCAGTTTGTTGGTTGGTTGTGGTTTTTTTTGTTAACATTTATACCAGCCAGACTAGCCACGAAATAGCTTTTGCTGTTGAGAAAATTAAGAGTATGCCTTTAGGAAAGGAAAAATATGGAAGTCTCTGCTGTGAAAACAGCTTAAGGTCTCCTTTCAAGAGTAAGAAGTTAAATATATTTTAAGTAATATATATTTTAATAATAGCACAGAATTTTATCAAGGTTAGTACTACAGCCTAATAGTTCTTCCAACCTAAGGGTTGGAATAGCTAATTCAACACTGGGTAAGGCTTCCTGGATGCTGGGATGCAATGAGTCATTCTGTAATCTTCCTCGGCAGCCTTTATTGTCAAGAGTTGCTCTGTGGCTGCATCGGTATTGAAGAAGCAGTTAACTTCCACAGGTTTCCAAGTCAGTACATGCATCCTAGTCATATCATAGTTCCAAGCTCAGACTTAGGACCCAGACACAGAGGAGCTCTCTACCCTAGAATCCATGGAAAATAATAGTGATATGCCCCATGAGTACTCAGCAGGGGCAGAGAGTGGAACCGGGACCCCAAGCTAAATACCCAGACACAAGTACAGACCTTAGTAGAGTAGGGAAGGAAGCTGTAGAATTAGTCTCATGTCATTAAGGATGCTACTTTCACTGCCAAAAATTCTGCTTTCTCATGAGGACAAAGCAGTAAATGTGAAAATACTGTCAATGCCCTAGAGGAGAAGTGGCCAAAGCAGCAGCCAGAAGTGCTGTATGCAGCAACAACTCAGGGCCAGCCCCTTTCTTTCACTTTCTTGTGAAGAGATAGCTTGAGGCTGTTTGAATGGCTCAAGCAGAGTGTCAGGATAGGATGAGACGTTTCCCTGGGCCAGCTCTCCATTCCCCCTTTTTAATGCAAATTGTCATGTTCCTCCCAGCTGCTGGGCTAGTTTACTGGTGGGGTGAAGAGGCCTTGTCACTGAACAGTGCTTCTGGGAATGGGAAAATATGAAGGGTCTTTAGCAATAAGGTACTCGGTACCCAAATTTATTCTTTTGTTCTAGGTTTTCTTTCCCCAGTATCTGATCTTAAAATCAGTATGGGAAAGCATGAGAGATACAAACCACTGGCAAGAAGCCAAATGCTGTGTTTTCTATGCAGTGTGAGAAGTTATCCAAAAGCAACTTTGTTAAAAACCAAATAATGTTTTGCAGAAATACTGCTTATTCTACTAATTACATGATCTGGCTCCATCTAATCCTGGAAAGACTCATCATCCCTGACAATGGGCTAATGTACTTTCTAACCTTGCCAGTATTGCACAGTTGTTACACTCTTTCCCAATGAGCACTGGGACCTTAAGCGTGATGATATGAAACCTTTAATCATTAATGAAAACAAGCAATTTGTCTATGATCTTAGTTTGACAATCCATAAAATAAGTGTTTCTCAGATGACAAATTAGCAACTTGGTTACAAAGAACAAAGTTTAAACAACACAACAGTTGTATGCACAAAGCTACCACGTCTTTTTTTTTTTTTTTTTTTAAATCAGGAAAAAATTTATTTATAAAAACGTCTCATTTAATTTACTGTCGAGTCTCTAGCTGAATACAGTGGTTTAGAACACTAATGGCCCATGCTTTTATACAGATTAGCCAAAGCATGAACATCAATGAAAATTAACCCCCAAAAATAACTTTTCTTTGCTTTATGTTATGAGCCACAACAGTGTTAAAACTGGAACAGTAATGAAAGCAACACAAGAGTTAGGAAGCACAGTTGCTTAAAGAGTAAAGGAATTATTTTCTTTTGATGTCTCAGAATAATAAGAAAGTTAGAAATGGCAGAAACTCCTCTGAAGATTAGTCCATAGAAAGCATTGTCTCATGGGGCTTTGGAAAAGTCCTGTCTGGTGGCTAATGCACTAGGGCATGATGAGATACATTACAGAGCCCCCAGGCCAGTAACTTCTGAAGACAGCCTAAAATGTAGGAACAAAAACGAGGAAGAGAAAAGAGGAAAACAAAAAAAAAGGCAAAAAAAAAAAAAAAAAGAAAAAAAAAAATCTTCTCACTATTAAAAAAATTACACTTGAGTACAACCAGCATAGAACAGCATTTCAATGCAGGCAAGTTTTCTCACACGGAGGTTGGTGGTTTGTTTTTGTTTTTTTAAATGTCACTTATTGAAACAGTTACAATAGTCCAGAACAATTTTACAGCAGTTTTCTAGAGCTGTTAAATAGCTGAGGTACCTTGACATTATTTCCAGTTTTTCCTTCATTATATAAAAAAAAAAAAAAAAAAACCCAAAAAAAAAAAAAAAACAAACTGTAACAATGGCAGTTCTACAAATGGTTACAGTGACAAAACTTAGTGCAAAGGTACTAAGGTGAAGAAAAGCCCACAGAATACAGAAATGACACTTAGCCCTATACAATAATAACACACTTTGAAATACCATGTCTTAAAAAGTATTGCATTTGCATTGTGTTTTTAGTTTATATTAAAATGCACTGAATACAGTTCAATTGTTAAAGCTTTGTGTCCAAGGAGTGCAAAGTGGATGAACATGGTGGGCTGATGGGATTCTGGATTCGGAAGTGGTGAGGAAAACAATATTGCATTACTGAGTTATGCAACAGAAATTAAAAAGAAGGTGGATGGACAAACAGAAAATGCAGTTAAAAACTAGTTCCAACAGCTAGCAACCAGCCATTGCATCACCCAGCTCTCTTCAATTTGGCTGCAATTAGGTGTTTAGTTTTAGTTAATCTGAACATTGTTAAGTTCTTGTTAAAGAGATGTTATCTGTCCATGCAGCAGCCTTTGAATGTCGTTTGATAAGCACTAGATATTATTTGTAATTATAATACAACCCCATTGCATGATTAGAGATGAGTTAAACAGAGGTGTATTTTGTCCAGAAACCTAATGAAAAGTGGTCGTTTGAACGAAATATATGAAGGGGGTTACCAGAACTGTGACTATGCGTGTCTGATTTGTACTTGCTATTAAGTACTTGCAGATAGAAGTACTTTGTTGGTGTATACATAAGTAAATGAGTTACGAGTGCAAAAGGAGGAGCCTGCTCTCCCTCCCTAAAGCGGAGTTCTTAAAATTACGGTTTTCCAAACCAAAGAAAAATTGTCGCGCTCTTTTAAAAGAACGGAGTGGAAAGGCACAAGTGCTTGATACCTTTTTTTTTTTCTTGTTGTCTCCCAATCATTTTAATTTAGCAGTTTTTCTCAGATCAGAAAGCTTAATTTGTTATACACAGCATACCTGAGGTTTGGTACCTTCTGGTCCCCATGTCCTGCTCACAGGCAGGTATCCGGGCAGGGAAGACGGGAGTCTTCAGGCCCGTTGAGAGCAGCAGAATGGCCAAGGGGGCCAGCACTTCACATGGGATTTCAGGGGGGCTAGCAATCATCAGAAGTGCCATATTTGCTGGCTCTAGCAAAAAAAGGATTTATTGGAGTTGCCAATTTACCATGGAAAATTGTTCTGCAGTTGGAGGGATCCCTTCAAAAGGATGGAAGTGTATTTAGATGCCAGGCAATATTGCAGGAGCAGGACCCATCTTGTCAAAATTTTGCCTCATTTATGTTTTTCCTCTCTCTTCAGGTGTCTCCTGGCTGGGGTGGGGCAACCCTGCTGTGCTGCAGGGCTGCTGGAGAGCCAGCCCGGGTCGTGGGCCTGGTAGGGGGACAGTGCTGGGAGCGGGGGGAAAGCCCCAGGCTGGTGCCCGCCCGCTGTTGGAATTAGTTGGTAGGTGGTGTTAGTCGTTATGGAGAGTGGAAGACGACTTGAGTCGGCAACAGTTAACACTAGCAATTTAACAGAAAATAAAAGATGCCGTATTGTTTCCTTGATAACTAGGATCTACCACAGACTCTTGGTAGAGCTGGCAAAGCTTGCATTGTGTCTCATCCCTTCAATATGGAGCAAACTTCTGGCGGTCAGATTTCTTAACCCCGCTCGTCGAAGGAATTTTGGCAGTGTAAGCGGACAAACTCCCCGTGGCCCCCGCGGCGGCCGCGGCATTTAGTGCCAGGAGTGGGACAGTTTTCATGCCAAGCAGACTGGAGACAGGAACGGCATAGTGGGTGGTTGGCAGAGTTGGTAGGGGAGGGGGGGTACTGACGGTAACGGCGGAGGCGGCCGCCAGCACGGCCATGGAGGTGGGGGTGGAGGTAGGGGTGGCAGACTGAGAGAGGTTCATGTTGAGGTCAACAGGGGTCGTGACGGAAGCGGTCTGGGTGCTGACTTTAGCCATCTCTAAGCTGCAAACGAAGAGAGGAAGAGGAACAAACAGGTTGGGAGGGTCCAGCCAGGGTGGTGGGGCCGAGAGGAGGAGGAGGAGGAGGAGGAGGAGGAAGGGACGGAG